GCACCCCCGGGGGGCCTGGCCGTGGCCAGCGGCTCCGGCAGCAAGAAGTTCCCGCAGGCCATCATCGTCGGCGTGAAGAAGGGCGGCACCCGCGCCCTCCTCGAGTTCCTCCGCGTCCACCCCGACGTGCGCGCCGTCGGCGCCGAGCCCCACTTCTTCGACCGCTGCTACGAGAAGGGGCTGCTCTGGTACAGGTAAGGGGCGCCCACCTGGACGCGGCCGCGGGGAGGATGCACATCAAAGGCGCCGCCGCCGCTCGCGCTCTCGACGCCGTCGGGGCTTTGGGGTCCCCCCTGCGATTTCCTTGGGGACTGCGAGGGCCACGGGGCGGGGACCAGGGTTCCCTCTAAGCTGAGTTAGTGTGAGCTAGCTCACAGGTTTTGAGCCTCTGGCTCACACATTTTTGTCTTGGCTCAGGAAGGAGGGCTCCAGAGCAAACTAATGTATGCAGCGGCCAAATCTCCTGCTCACAACTTTAATGCCAGGAGCTCACAAAGTAGAATTTTTGCTCACAGGACTCCATAGTTTAGAGGGAACATTGGCGGGGACCCGGCCCCTCGGATCGCGCCCAGGGCGCTCTACCAGCCCTCCTTGAGACGCGCATTGGAGTTACGCTGGTCTCATTACGGTTAATGACCCGTGCGTAATTCTATTAAACAGGAGGCTGGCTTCCCTTCCCTCGCTCCCTGGTTCCATCCCCCCCCCTCCATCTCACCCAAATGTTTCTCCCCCTCCAGTGTTACTTCCTTCTATGCCTCCCTCTTCCACTCCGGAGTTCATCTTGTGTTTTCTTTTCATGCCCTCAGCCACCCCTGGTTCAATGTTCCCTCTAAGTTGTGGAGTCTTGTGAGCAAAAATTCCACTTTGTGATCTACTGGCATTAAAGTTGTGAGCGAGTGATTTGGCTACTGCTTAACCTAGTTTGCTCTGGAGCCCTCCTTCCTGAGCCGAGACAAAAATGTGTGAGCTGGAGGCTAAAAAAATGTGAGCTAGCTCACACTAACTCGGCTTAGAGGGAACACTGGCTGGCATTAAAGTTGTGAGTGAGCGATATGGCTGCTGCAGAAATTCGCTTGCTCTGGAGCCCCATCCTTCCTGAGCTGAGACAAAAATGTGGGAGCCGGAGGCTAAAGAACTGCGAGCGAGCTCACGCTAACTCAGCTTAGAGGGAACACTGCTCCGAAGTTCATCTGGTGTTTTCTTTTCACACTCTCAACCACCCCTTGGGGGGGGGGTTGCCTTCGGAGGGATTAACTCAAGTGTAGCCCCCGATCCAACCCCGGTTCTGGATATCAATGCTCCCTCTAAGCTGTGGAGTCTTGTGAGCGAAAACTCTCCTTTGTGAACTCCTGACAATAAAGTTGTGAGCCAGCGATTTGGCTGCTGCAGAAATTCGCTTGCTCTGGAGCCCTCCTTCCTGAGCTGAGACAAAAATGTGTGAGCCGGAGGCTAAAAAACTCTGAGCTGGCTCACACTAACTCAGTTTAGAGGGAACATTCGGCCGGTGGTTATTCCGCTTATTACTTTGCTCTGGAGCCATCCTTCCTGAGCTGAGACAAAAATGTGTGAGCCGGAGGCTAAAAAAACTGCGAATTGGCTCACACTAACTCAGCTTAGAGGGATCATTGGGCTGGTGGTTATTCCGCTTTGGAAATGTGCCTTTGCCCTTCGATAGACCTGAGCTGTCTCTGTGGGAAGGCTCGCCCTGACAGTTAATCTGTCCTCACCTAGTTTTAACCTTGTGGGGTTTTGCCTGGAGCCTTTGGGAGGGGAAAGGGATGGGGTAGAGAAATTCAGAATAACCCTGATTTGCCCTTTCAGTTCCTATCTTTTCTGAAGAAGTGAACAGTGGGTCACGAAAGTTCATACATGACCACAGATTTTCTTAGTCTTTAAAGTGCTCCTGGATTTTTACTCTTTTCTGAAGGAGTGAGCCAGTGACTCAGGAAAGTTCATCTCCTGCCACAAGGTTTGTTCGTCTTTAAGGTGCTCCTGGACGGACTCTTTCTCTTTTCTGCTGCTACAGACAGACTCACACGACTGCCCGTCTTGATGTATCTTTTGCCGATCTTAATCTATCTTTCCTCGTTACTGCCGTTGTTGTTGTTAGAGGCGTAAACTTATTAGCGGAATGGATCCTCGACAGACCCAAGATACCTCCAGTTTCCTAATGGCGTTGGTAATCTTTGAATTAACATCACACGTCTAATAACTTTGATGCGCCTTTAATCAATGTTACGCTCTGTTTTCTTCCTGGTTTCCCCCCCTCCATATTTGGGTCTCTTTTCCTGGGCTGTATTCTGATAAAAATTAGTGTATTTTCTGAGCGTCTAAAAGTTTCTTCCGAGGGGTGTGCACGATCTCTGCAGCCAGTGTGCAGGCCCCGACTGCGCACTGCATAACTTGCGTCGCGAGCAGTCCTCTGGCGAAACCTTCATGCATGTTTCCTTTTTCCGTTCCTCCCCCCCCCGCCCCTCCCTTGTTGCTCCTTTATGAAACTTTCTATTATGGGATAAGATAAGAAAGACTGTCTTAACTTTCCCAGTTGAAAGCTGTCTCTCCTTTGAAGTCGGTGGCAAAGCTTTCGGTGACTTCAAAGGGGGTCTAGATTTCACAAAGACAAGGTAACAAAAGCCCGGAGACTATTGAAAACTCCCCCCCCCCCAAATCCCAAAGGCTATTGATTCGGGTTCAGGTGGCGTTCCTCGCCGCAGAACTCTAACGGGACTTGTTTTTTTAAACTCTTGTTAAATGTCATCTTCCTTCCTGGGCCTCAGTTCTATCCAGGATACCCGTCCGGCTCCCAAATTTCACCGCGTCTCTTTAGAAACTCTCTGGGTGCCTGTCCAAAGTGGCGTCTTTTCACTCTAAGCAACTTCACGATGTTAAAAGCGTGTTAAGGCGCTGCATCCGCACTCGGGTCCTTCTGAATATACCCCCCCTGCACGCACACACCCCATTTCTCTGTCTTGCTTACTGCTCCGTAGCAGTATCATTCACCTCTTCCAAGCCTTTCAATGAAAGCTACAATGCTTTCGTTTGGTATCCCCAGTCTGAGCCAAGCTGAATTTTCTTTCCCATTTCGAGCTCAGCAAGAGGTGAGCTTTGTGAAATTTGGCAATGTGTTTCCTTGTAAATTAGAGTCCAAGTAGCAACCCTGTTTCCCCTCGCCTCCAGCTGAATAAACCACTGGTGTTGGTATGTTTGGGTGGAGGAGGAGAAATTGGGGGGCTATAGTCTCTCTCATGACATCTGCCTTCCTAGAGAGGCCCCGTTGTGTGCATCCAGCATCCCATGAAAAGAGATGCTGTAATTAAAACGTGGTAGCCTTGAAGATGCCACGGATCTCCTCTTTCTCTTTGCTGCCACACACTAACGGGGCTGCCTCTCTGGAATTAAGATTTCCACGTTGGAGTGGGCCGGACAGAATTCTCACACGATGCTTTTTCATCTCAGTCTCTTTTTATATATGTAGACCCCCCTCCAATAGCTCATTTGCATTGTACAAAAGCTGAGGGGTGGCGTTGGGGTGTCATTAAACTGGAGCTAACCCTGATCTCCCCAATGGACACGATCCACTGCAAATGCTTCCTAGGCAAGCCCTATTGATAGAGACAGAAGCGGCACGGCGCTTGCCAAACCCTATGGCGAGAAAACCCAAAGTGAGAGATTGCATGTACTTATCCATGTCTGAGGCCTTTGGTTTTTTTGTTTAGCTCTCCGCATGGGGGAAAGTGTGGGGACCCAGGAGTCCGGGCAGGTACATAGCACATGTGGGTTTGGGACAGAGAACACATGGTGTTTAAAAGAAACACTGGTGGCATGAAAAACATTGTGAGTCCAACTTGTGAGTCTTTGAGGGACAACAGGTTTCTTGTTCCTTTTAATACTAACACGGCTGCTTGTAAGGAAGACCTGAATGCCGGGAAGTGTGGCTTTCTCTGCATGTCCTGAGCCACGCAGAGTGTTTTCCATGTGCCCCCAGGGCTTCAAGTGTGGCAGGTGTGTCGCAGACAGATGCAAGCACAGAAGAGTTAGGTCCCTGTCCAACGGAGACTGCACCCTAACGTTTGGCAGGGTGTAGGAGAAACAAGAAGAGAAAAGGGGGGATGAGCCCAGGGTGATGAGCTCCAAACACTAGCCAGTGCGGTTGACTAGCACATAGAGCAAGTAGAGAAAGAAGTCCTTTTCTCCCTTTCTCACAAGACAAGAACTCATGGGCACTCCGTGAAATTGCTGAGTGGTCTTGTTAGAATGGATAAAAGGAAGCACTTCTTCACCCAAAGAGTGAGTAAAGGATAGAATTCACTGCCACAGGAGGAGGTGGCGCCGGCTACAAGCATGGACGGCTTCAAGAGGGAATTGGCTAAACATCTGGAGCAGAGGTCCATCAGTGGCTATGAGCCACAAGGTATAGATATGAACTCTCAGCCTGGGGCAAGGGATGCTCTGTATTCTTGGTGCTTGGGGGGGGGCAACAGTGGGAGGGCTTCTAGTGTCCTGGCCCCCCTTATGGCACCTGGTATTTTTGGCCACTGTGTGCCGGAGGATTGGGCTGGTCCATTGGCCTGATCCAATGTTGGCTTCTCTTATGTTCTTATGTTCTTTGCGCTTTATTTCAGTTGGGAAGGCACGAAGTGATGAAGCTGATTTGGGGGTGTGTGTGCAGGTGATAGAGAGCCGGTGTTTGTACATAGCGTCAGGATAGCAAAACTCCTGTTTTATAGATGGGTCAACTTCGGTGGGGGGGGGAGAAGGTGAATTGCCCAAGTCTACATACTGCATTTGTTGCAGAGAGGAGTACTAAAAGAGGACAGGGAGAAATCAGGAATCCCATGGTTGAAGATATTCTCTCAAATGCGAAGGAGAAACCCTGTTTTCTACCCCAGATTCCTTTGTGGGAGTTACTTTGGAGTAAACATAGGGTTTTTGCCTGTTGGAAAGGAAATGGGGGTTGAAGTCTTTTTGCATCAGTAATTTGGAGGGCTTCCCCCCCCCGCGTCTCAATTTCTGCTTCAGCTGGAGGGTGGGTGGCAGAGAGCCCGATTGGTTGCACCCTCAGCCCTGGCTCTCTGATTCTTTCCCCCCGGGGCCTTCGAAGGCCATCTTCCTGTCAGTTTTTTCCAGAGAGATCCGGCAAGAATTGAGCAATTTGGGGTGGAACTCTGAAGTCTTAACTTCTGCCAAGACCTAT